ATAATTTGTAAATTTAATGTACTGAAGATGGTCACATGTTAGACCGAAACGTTTACTTAATTTTAATTGAATGGTATACTTTAAGCTAAACACATCAAGCGTTGTGGCTGGATGCTCCTTATCGTTTACAATTTTTAAACTTAAGCCACTTATTATTTTATTTATTTTTTATTTATTTAATAATAAACTCTTTTTTTTGTTAAAAACGTATAGAAGAAATAATGAAAAAAATTAAATCTTTTTAAAAACAAGTTTTACTTAAAAAAATTTTGTAATTTTTTACCCGGAGCAAGATTTACACAGAAGACGAATTAGTAACATATAAAAATATACCTTACTTTTTCGTTTCAGATCGTTTGAATGGGTTCTATAATGTCAAAAACAAATTATGGTTACACGAAACGTCTCGTGCAATATGGCGTATATCTCGGACAAATCTTAATAAAATCATTTGAAAAAATTTGTAATTAACTGTTACGTCCTGCGGACTCACGTTGCCTCTTTTCTTTTTCTCACGGAGACCTAGGGGTTATCAACCCCCTAGGACTTCTAGAAAAAGTAATAAAAATCTTTTCCCATGAGAAAGTTTAAAATAAAAGACACTAGTGTCTCCATTAATGCCAAACAAAATAAAGTTAGAATCGGTGAACGCAGGGAGCTAATGCACCGCCGATGACGCTTCCCTTGGACAGCGCCATTAAAAACGGCAATTAATGTCAGTACTGGCGCCTAAACATTTTTTTTTGTTTTGACAAGCAAGTCGCGGACGATTCTCACGATGTCCGCGACCATAAAATATAAATGTGACATGCGAAGTTTAGGAAAAGTGTTTGACGGGCGCGTGCCGACAGTGCACGTACGCTCGTCTTAATCGGTGCACGTGCATTTTCCCATAAATTTAGGAAAGTCATAAACTAAGACGACAGTTGTTGATACCAACCGACTTCTTTCCTCCACCATAATCTCGACCAATCCAAAATCCCGAAAGTTATCCCATCACCTAAATTTGAACCCCACTAATTAGGAAAAACCGCTATATAAACCACGGTTCCGCGGTCCTGAACGTCTTTTTTAGTCTTGTCTTTTTGACTCTCGGCTTTTTAGTCTTCTTTTGTCTTTGCTACTGTCTTCTTGCTGAGAGCTTCACAGTACAGTTCTCAAGGTTGGTCGAGAGAAGCTACCCAGCTCATATAAAACAGATTGAGTCCGAGTCTCGGGTGACTCCATTATTATTAATTGAAATAAGTATTAGAGTCAGTGACTCGAAGCCCCGAGGTCTCCACTACATAGCCGACCACAAGGTTTCCGAAGCCTCGTCACCAGACTCAGCAGACTTCACCGACCAGTAAGTCAATAGACCTTGTTTCTTTTCTTTCCTTTTTTTTTATTGTTCTTTCTTTTCTCTTCCTCCTCACTGTATTTAAAGTAGTCGTAGTCGTTCTCGGTTTTCGCGTTCAGTTTTCCTTTTTTTTTTCAGTTGTTCGGTAACTGAGTAATAATTTTTCGCTTACCTACAAAATGATATTGCAGTGTGCTCTAACGGGTCCACCGCTTCTCCATCTCCACGCCGCAGCGTGATACGTTTCGTAAGGTCGCGCCGAACTGTTATCCGAACCAGGACTCGTACCGCTCAAGAACTTCGGCCCGCGGCCCAACCCTGTATTACTCACCCTCCGACGCCGAACGCTCCGACAGAGACACTCACGGTACCCTCTTTCCTCTCTTTATTTTCTCCTCCACTCGAGGTCTCATATTCACCACCACCACCCTTACCTATTTCACCTGATGAGACTCTCGATCCACAGATCCCAGCCCCTCACTCTGACCTCGATCCCGAAATTCTCACCTTCACCGATCAAGCTACCCTTCTCCCCTCCCAAACCTTTCATTACATCACATCCATAGAAGACCTCCTTGATTTCTGGGTGACTGCTCCTCCCAACACCTCCCAACCTGCCATCGTATATTTAGAAGGTTACCCATATCCATTTACCATCCCGGCTGAAAATCTAACTCCCTTTTTTGAATATTCCCTTCCTCCCTAAATCTAAATTATCACTAATTGAGACCGAAACGCGTCTATATGTATTTTTAATTATTAAATATATATTTATTCGCGACTAATATCTTGCTCGTAGTTGTATGCCTTTTATCTAATTATTGTTGTTCTAAATTATTCCGCAACTCGTCGGTTCGCGTAAAGGAGGCACGGCAGTGTCGCTCTGCGCAGCTTAGCGCCGAGACACTACCAGTGTCTCCAGATTCTAATTCTTAATTATATTTTATATTAATTAAACTCGTTTTGATTTATTTCGAGAAACATCTCCTTGTATTTTTAATCGTAACACCAAGATTGCACTTAGTCAAATCCCCGGCCCTTTGGATTTATTTCCAAGGCCGAAAATAAGGGCATCGAACGCACTGGCCCATCTAGGATAGAAGTGTGCCCTTACGACACACTGACCTAGTTTCCCGGCCTTTAGCCTGTGCGTTTGCCTCGAGCGGCACTCAGCGGAGCGTCGATCTCGAGAGAGGCTTT